CCCACATCGACAGCCCCGAGCTCCAGGAGGGGACCTTGGGCCACCTCCTGGTGGTCACACAGCCAGGTGAAGGTGACAGGGGCTGAGCCCACCTGCACCAAGCAGTGCAGGGTCACGAGGTCACCTGCACGCACCTGGTGTGACAGGGGACTGGGGGTGATGGTGGCATTGGCAATGGGCACTGCAGGGACAGAGACAGGGCTGGCACTGGGCGAGGTGGGATGGGGGTGCCATGGGTGGGGTCACCCCCAGCCTGAGGGTCCCGCTCACCCAGGACGGTGACATTCAGGGGGTCACTCTCAGCCACACTGTCCCCATCTCTGACCCGGCACCGGTACTGGCCGCTGTCATTGTCCCCAGCCTGGCTCAGCTCCAGGTGGGAGTTGGTGCACAGCGGTGACCCCGAGCCCTCCTGATGCCAGGAGAAGGACAGGGGACCTGTCCCCATGGCAAACACACAGCTCAGCACTATGGGGTCCCCAAGTGGCACCTGTGCCCGGGGAGCTTTGCTGACAGAGACACCCCTGAGGGAGGGACCCCTGCAAGAGTGGGGGACAGCAGGGAACAGTGAGGGACCCGGGGGTTTGGGGATGGGCAGCGGGACCCCAGGGAGGGAGACGGGGCACAGAGATAGAGGGGTCTTGGAATCAGGGGGGATGGGGGGGGGGGGTCAGGGAGGGAACACCTGGAGAGGGAGGTGGGCAACACCAGGGAGGGTATGGGGACCCAGGGAGGGGATGGTGGGAGCTGGGGAATGTGCGGGGACCTCACAGAGGGGTGGGGGGATGCAGGGAGGGGTCAGGGGCCCCAGTGAGGAATGGGGGGGACAGGAGCCAGGAATGGGGGGACCTGGGGAGGGACCCGGGGCAGCAATGGCAGGACACGGAAACGGTGCCAGGGAAGGATGGGGGTACCCATGTAGGGCTCGGGGACCCAGGGAGGGACCTGAGAAAGGAGGGGGCGGAGCCAGGGAGATATCTGGGAAAGGCTGGGTACCCCAGAGCAGGTGTCAGGGAGGGCTGGGGGTCCCCAGGCAGGGCTGGGGAGCCAAGGAGTTTGTGGGGGCTCCCCATGTCCATCCCCGCACTCACTGCACACCGTGACGGGTGCTGCTCTTCTGCACGGCCCCGCCCTCGGAGCGCACCTGGCAGCTGTAATTATCTGAATGGGAGACCCCCACGGCAGGCACCAGCAGCTGCGGGGACCCCTGCGGGCCCCTCACCACCTGCCCATCCCGGTAGAACACTTGCAGGAGGGGGGCTCGGGGCCACAGGGGGCTGCGGGTGCTGAGGCAGCTGAGAGTCAGGGGGGATCCCTTGGTGGGCTTGGGGGGACCCTGCAGCACCAGCACTGAGAAAAGCTCAGGGAAGGAGAGGGGAGGTGAGGACTGTGACTCTAAATGCACTGGGAAATGGCTTTGGGCGTGTCAGGAGATTGGAGTTCCAGCCGTGGGGGTGCCAAATCTACCTCGTCAAATCTTTTGGGGACCATCCCCACACACTTTCTCACAAGAAATGCTGTCCCCATGGGGACAGTTTGGAGACAGCCCACACAGCCTGCACCCAGGTGCTGCTGTCCTTGCAGTGCCACCTTCACTGAGCCCTGTCCCTTCTCCCTTCCTGCTCAGCCTTGCTGGTGAGTCCTCAGGGGATGCCATGGACCCACCCTGCTGTCCCCAGCCCCACGCTGGCCCGGGCAGGCTGGTGTCCCCTGTCACCAGCAGGCACCCAGACCACCCAGATCCTCGTGGAACCCCCCTGGAGGCCGGCGGCGCTGTGGGACCGAGTGACACTGACCTGCCAAGGCTTGGGGACCTCCTGTGTCACCACCTGGTACAAGGACGGGCAGCACTGGGGGCAGGAGGAATGCGACCACTTCACTGTCACTGAGAATGGCACCTACATGTGTGACAGACCTGGAAGTTGGCTCAGCCTCCCTGTGAGAGTCTTAGATGCTTCAGGGGGTGATAGAGATCAGTGTATTCCTGCGTACAGTCAGATTGTGAGCCCTCTCTACCTGGTCACCCACAAGAAGATGGATTTCCACTGGGGTCCTAAACAGCAACAAGCCTTCATTCAGATCAAGCAGGAGATCGCTCATGCAGTAGCCCTTGGCCCAGTCAGGATGGGACCAGAAGTGAAGAATGTGCTCTACTCTGTGGGTGGCAACCATGGTTTGTCCTGGAGCCTTTGGCAGAAGGTGCCTGGTGAGACTCAAGGTTGACTGCTGGGATTCTGAAGCCAGAGCTACAAAGGCTCTGAAGCGAACTACAGTCCCACAGAAAAGGAAATCTTGGCTGCCTATGAAGGAGTTCAAACTGCCTCAGAAGTAATTGGCACCAAAACGCAGCTGCTTCTGGCACCCTGGCTACCAGTGCTGGGGTGGATGTTTAAAGGAAAGGTTCCTTCCACACATCACGCCACCGACACCACATGGAGCAAATTGATTGCTCTCATCACTCAGCATGCCCGTATTGGAAATCTGAATCATCCTGGGATTCTGGAAATTATAACAAACTAGTCTGAAGGGGAGACTTTTGGATTATCTTCTGAAGAAGAAGAGGTGCAAGTGGCACGTGCCAAAGAAGCCCCACCATATAATGAGCCACCAGAGACTGACAGACAATATGCCCTCTTCACTAATGGTTCCTGCTGAATTCTAGTCACTAACCGGAAATGAAAAGCTGCAGTATGGAGCCTCACATGACAAGTTGCACAAGCTACCAAGGGACAAGGTGGATCAAGTTGGGTTGCAGAGCTTAAAGCGATCAATCTGGCTTTGGATATTGCCGAAGGAGAGAAGTGGCTGAGGCTCTATCCACTGCCCCATGGATGGTAGCTAATGCTCTGTGGGGATGGCTGGATTGCTGGAAAAAGGCCAACTGGCAGCACAGAGGGAAACCCATCTGGGCCACCGAGATTTGGCAAGACATTGCCACCTGAGTAGAGAGGCTGTCCATGAAGATTCGACACGTGGATGCGCACGCACCCAAGAATCAGGCTAATGAAGAGCATCACAACAATGAGCAGGCAGACCAAGCTGCCAAGGTGAAAGTATCACAGGTGGATCTAGACTGGCAGCACATGAGAGAATCATTCCTAGCTCATTGGGCCCATGATGCATCTGGTCATCAGGGAAGAGATGCAACATACTGATGGGCTTGTGACCAACAGGTGGACCTTACTATGGACAACATCTCATAGGTCATCCACAACTGCGAGACCTGCACTGCAATCAAACAGGCCAAGCAGGTGAAGCCTCTGTGGCATGGTGGGTGATGGTTGAAGTACAGGTATGGGGAAGCCTGGTAAACTGACTACATCACGCTTCCCCAAACCTGCCAAGTCAAGCACTACGTGCTGACCATGGTAGAAGCCACCACAGGATGGTTGGAAACCTACCCCATGCTTCATGCTACTGCCTGGAACACCATCTTAGGCTTAGAAAAGCAAGTCCTGTGGAGACATGGCACCCCTGAGAGAATTGAGTCGGACAACAGAACCCATTTCAAGAACGGCCTTATAAAAACCTGGGCCAGGGAACATGGTATTGAATGGATATATCATATTCCTTGTCATGCACCAGCTGCCAGGAAAGTTGAATGGTGCAATGGACTACTTAAGACTACCCTGAAGGCACTTGGCAGGGGAACTTTAAGAAACTGGGAATTGAACTTAGGAAAAGCCACCTGGATGCTCAAGACCCGAGGGTCCAGCAATCGAGCTGGTCCTGCCCAGTCTGAACCCCTGCACACAGTAGATGGAGACAAAGTCCCTGTGATACACATGAAGGTATTTTAGGAAAGACTGGATTAATCCCACCGCAGGCAGAAGCAAACCCATCCGTGGGATTGTTCTTGCTCAAGGACCTGGTTACACTTGGTGGGTAATGCAGAAGGATGGAGAAACCTGTTGTGTACCACAAGGAGACCTAATTTTAAGCGAGAACTGTGTGTAAAGCTTCATTCTGTATTTTATATATATATATATATACATATATATGTAAGTGGATATTGGTTTGGGTATAGATAGTAATAGAATAAGGGGTGGATTATGTCCTAGGTTACAATATAAAGATGTATTCTATTCCCATCCTCAAGAGCTGCCGAAACCAGGAGGGGCATAATTTTTTTCCTTATCTCCTGTAATGGGCCCATCAATGCCTTGCCACCTGACTCAGAGATAACTCCCTCCAGGAGCCATTTCTGTTTAATGGACCCACCGCAGGACTAATAGAATGATATCAGCCCATTGTGAGATGCTCCGCCCAGGGGGGAGGAGCCAAGCATTCCTACCTGGATATAATCTGACATTTGTAACACCACAGCCAGCGTTTTCCCATTGGATTCCTTGAGGAGCAGCTTTCTTCTCCACTGGCTTCCCAGAGGAAGACCAGGCCCATCTACACCACCACTGGACCTTCAGAGGAAAACTCCACCCTTCTACCGGATCACTGCTCCAACAGAACCACACCTGTCACTGCAGGAAGACTGCAGCCACCGTTGAATGGGACTGCTGCCAACACCCTGACCCACAGGGTGTTGGGTCATATTCTAGCTCTGTCAGTGTTCTTTTATATAACTATGCTTTATTTTTATTTTTATTTTTATTTTTATTAATTTTTATTTCTTTTTAATTTTTATTTTTTTATTTTTAACAACTGCTCACTTAAAAAATTTTAACAGTTTTATTAAATCTTAACAAAAATACAACAAAAGGATTAAATATGGAAAAACCTGGGAGCCTCCTTCATGGCTGCTTACCACGGGGCTCATCTTTGAGATGGGCGCTTCGCCTTTTATACATCTGGGGATTGCATCAGCCAACTCTGGCCCCTCCCAAAGTCTGTCAGTCAACTCTTCTTGGCTGTTTATTGGTGGAGATTGCTTTTCTGCAACTTGGTTGGTGGGTCAGGTGTTGTCATGCTGTGCCCTCCAGTAGCAACGAGCTTTTTCATTCTCAACTGCCCTGTAGGAGGGGCACACGTACATGCCTTCCTTTTACCTGTCCTAAATAACCCAGGCTGTCCAGTGGCGACAACGCAGAGGATGGGGAAAGGGGACTGTGAGGAGAACAGAGGACATCTAAACAATAAACCACAATAACATAACTATACATCAATAAAGCTTCTCTTAATATTCACACAATATTCATTCCTTAATTGTTAGACCCAATCATCTCATTATTCATCTATAACAATTTTTATTTTTATTTTTACATTTCCCTATTAAAGGACTGTTATTCCTACTCCCATATCTTTACCTGAGAGCCCCTTGATTCCAAAAATTTAATAATTCAGAGGGAAGGGGTTTATATTTTCCATTTCCAGAGAAGTTCCTGCCTTCCTTAACAGACACCTGCCTTTTCAAGCCAAGACAGAGCCCCAAAAATCCTGCAAATCCCACACTGATCTGTGCAACAACCAGACCGGGTCCCTCCTTCCTGAGCCAAACAGGGCAGAGCTGAAAACAAAAACCATTTCTCCTGGTTTAATCAAAAAGCTGCATTTTGGGTCCAATAAGAGGGACAGGGATGCTGTGCCTCCTGGCACTGGGGGATGGAATGGGGAGCTCCTGGGGATACTGGGAGCACTGGGAGCACTGGAACGGGGAGCTCTGGGCAGCCCCATATGGGACCCCACACTCGTGGCCACCCCCTCATGGCACGGTGGGCATCCACGGGAACTGGGGGGAGGACACACAGTGGGAGGTGCCCTCAGGCAGGGACCTCCAGTGCCCCCAGTGCCCAGAGTGTCACAGCATGTTCTCGTAGATGTCACTGGAGTCCTGCTGTTGCCCATGGGGTCCTGGCAGCTCTGCATTGGTCACGTGGGGGGATGTGGCACAGGGGGGCACTGCAAGAGACACTGGTTGGGGGAACCTGGATGGGAGGTGACACGCCTATAGTGACATGTCTCTGTCCCCCCACCTGTACTTACCCCCTGCCTTCTTGGTTCGCACGACCTGGCTGTACAGCACCTCCCCTGCCTCTGGAGGGGCCGAGGGCCCTGGGGGGCCCCTGCAAGGATAAGGGGGTGTCTGTGGGGATGTGGGGGGTTGTAATGAAGATAAAATGGGGGTTCAGGCCTGGAGCCTCCCACTCACCTTTCCTGCTGTTTCCTGAGGGCTGCAAAGGAAAGGGGGGAGGGGTGATGGTGGAGTCCTCAGGGCCCCTGAACACCCTTGAGACCTCTGACTGCCCCTGGGAGCCTGGTGCATCCCTGAAGCCCCTAAAGATCTTTGAATCGCCCCGTGAATCCACTGAGACCTCAAACTCCTCCAAACCCCTGACGGAACTCCCAACATCCCTGCACAACCCTGTAGGACCTCCCCAAATCCCCCAAAACCCCCAGCTGAGATCTCTGGGGATTCAGCTTCGCCCAAGTCAGGAGCTGTTGGTGCCACCCTCTGGACCCTGAACTCTGAGGGGGGCTTCACCCCAATCCCTGGGATCCCCATTCCTCCTCATTGTCACCCACCCAGGTGGTGCCACCAGCGCCAGCCTCCGATGACAGCCAGGAGCAGAAGTAGGAACAGGAGGGACCCAAAGACCAATGCAGCCATTGCTGGGGACAGAGGGGGACACATCAGGGTGACCCAGAACCCCGGGGGTTCTGCACCCCCCATGTGACTCTGTGTGACCCTACCTGTGCCCTGTTCCTGTGTTGTCACTTCCAGGGCCAGCTCTGGGCTGAGTGCCTGGTACCTCTCCAGCTGGTTGGTGACCATGCACTGGTAGGTGCCCGAATGTCGCACATCGACAGCCACAAGCTCCAGGAGGGGACCTTGGGCCACCTCCTGCCCATTGTGCAGCCAAGTGAAGGTGACAGGGGCTGAGCCCACTTTCACCGAGCAGTGCAGGGTCACGGGGTCACCTGCACGCACTTGATATGACAGGAGACTGAGGGTGATGGTGGCATTGGCCACGGGCACTGCAGGGACACAGACAGGGCTGGCACCTGATGAGGTGGGATGGGGGTGCCATAGGTGGGGTCACCCCCAGTCTGAGAGGCCCGCTCCCAGAGGACAGTAACATTCAGAGGGACACGCTGTCCCCGCACTGGTAGTGGCCGTTGCCCTTGTCCCCAGTGTAGTGCAGCTCCAGGCGGGGCCAGTGTCAAGCGGTGCCCCTGAGCCCTCCCAGGTACCAGGAAATGGACAGGTGACCTGTGCCTGTGGCCGCCGTGCAGCTCAGCACAAGGCTGTGCTGACAGGGACACCCCCGAGAGTGGAACCCCTGCGGGAGGGGGTGACACCAGGGGACATTGAGGGACTTTGGGGGAGGTCAGAGAGGGGCAGGGAGAGCCCAGTGAGGGAGAGGAGGTGCAGAGCTGGGGGGGGCTTGGATAGGTACCCCAAGGAAGGATGGGGGGTTTAGTAAGGGGACACATGGAGAGGGAGATGGGAGGATCCCAGTGCAGGTATGGAGACCCAGAGAGGGTATGGTGGGACTTGGGGACAGTGGGGAAACAGCAGAGAGGGGAGGGAGTTAACTCAGAGATGGGTGAAGGGACCCAGGGAGGGATGGGGGGACCCGGGCAGTAATGGAGGTACCAAGGCAGGGGACCCGAGGTGGCTGTGGGGGCTCCCCGTTCCCATCCCCGCACTCACTGCGCACTGTGACGCGGAGCCAGGCGCTGCTCTTCCTCACGGCCCCCCTCTCAGAGTGCACCTGGCAGCTGTAATTCCCCGAGTGGGAGACCCCCACGGTGGGCACCAGCAGCTGCGGGGACCCCTGCGGGCCCCCTACCACCTGCCCGTCCCGGTAGAACACGTGCAGGAGGGGGGCTCGGGGCCGCAGGGGGCTGCGGGTGCTGAGGCAGCTGAGAGTCAGGGGGGACCCCAGGGTGGGCTCGGGGGGACCCTCCAGCACCGGCACAGAGAAGAGCTCTGGAAAGGAGAAGGTGGGGGGATTTGTGAGCCCGAGTCACTAGGGAGGGGCTGTGAGGGTGTCGAGGTCGGGGCTGTGGGGTGCTCACCGTGCACTGTCACTGTCACTGCTGCCGACTTCTCCCATCCCCGTGATACCGTGGATTTCACCCAGCCCCCGCAACTGTAGCGGCCACTGTGTTGCAGGTGCAAAGGGGACAGGGACAGCTCGGTCCTATCGCGGAGCTCCTGCAGTTTCTTCTCCTCGTGGTAGATGGACACTGAGCTGATCGGGTTGTCCCGCCAGCGCCGGCAGCGCAGTGTCACCGTGTCCCCCTCCAGCAGTGCCCGCATCGGCACCTGCAGCACCAATGGGGCTGCGGGACACGGGGGTCCTGTTACAACAAGGGGACCTGGCGGGTCCCAATGCCACCACGACCCCCATATTGGCTCACAAACAGCACACCAGGGATCGCCAGTTCCACAAACAGGGTCTGCCAGCACTGGGATGCTCTGGAATGTCCCCAGAGCAGGGGACGGGCTCTGGTCACACAGGAGGTGACCCATGGAGCGGAGTCCACCCAGAGCCCTCAGGGTCACTGCAGGTGCCAGACTGGGGATACCCAAACCTCCCTCACCATCTAAGACTCTCACGGGGGGGCTGTGCCCGGTGCCGGGTCTGTCACACGTATAGGTGCCTCTCTCAGTGACAGTGAGGCGGTCCTGCCCGTCCTGCTGCCAGCGCTGCCCGTCCTTGTACCAGGTGGTGGCACCGGCAGTCCCTGAGCCCTGGCAGGTCAGTGTCACCCGGTCCCACAGCACCGCCGGCCTCCAGGGGGGCTCCACCAGGAGCTGGGTGGTCTGGGCACCTGCAGGTGACAGGGGACACCAGCCTGCCAGGGCCAGCGTGGGGCTGGGGACAGCGGGGTGGGGCCATGGCATCCCCCGAGGACTCACCAGCGAGGCCGAGGGTCTGGGCTGGAAGGGAGAAGGGACAGGCTCAGTGAGTGTGGCACTGTGGGGACAGTGGTGCATGGGGGAATGGGTCATGGGGGCTGTCCCTGAACTGTCCCCATGGGGACATTGGTGTGGCACAGATGTCTCGAGGGGGACACTGTGCTAGCACAGGTCTGCCCCACCAGCCCCACGGCCTCTGTCCCCATGAGCCATCCACATTGTGCTTGTCCTCTTCTCCCTGTCCCTGCATCCCTGCATCCCTGCATCCCTGCATCCCTGTGTCCCTGTCCCCACAGCTGCCCCAGCCCCAGGATGCCTCTCCGCACATTCCTATCCCTCCAGCCCCAAGCGCCCTCTCCTATCCCCACGGCCACCCCCTGGCCCCGATCACCTCATGCTCTGGCACTGCTCGCATTGGGGACCTCAGGGTCCCCACAGCCCCCCTGTGCCCCCTCCCCACTGCTGGGGTGTCAGGCCCGTGCCCGGGACACTCACCCCACAGGAGCAGCGCCACCTTCCCGGCCATCCCGGTGTCCCCAGCCATGTGCACTGGCTGTCACTCGCTGCTGTGTCCACCGCTCCCCTGGCTGGCAGCTCTTTGGATGAAGGGGAAGGAAGCGAGGTCACGTCTCGTCCCCATGTGTTGGTGGCACCTGGTGGGGGCAGGGTGGCCACAAGCAGGGGGCAGGCTGTGGGCAGGGTGGGAACATGCTGGGGACAAGGCTGTCTCTGGGTCAGTGGGATATGGGCTTCCCAGGATCAGGGGGGCTCAGGGGGTTTGGGGAGCCAGGGAAGGGTGTCCAGGGGAATGGGGGGTTCCAGGAATGGGGTCCCTGGGGAATGGGGGTCATGAGGAGGGGGAGTCACAGGGGATGGAGGTGCCATGTGAATGGGGGTCCCCAGGGCTGGGGGGACTCAGGGATGGGAGTCTCTGAACAATGTGGGCTCCAGGGATTTGGTATTATGGTTTTGGTTTGCTAATTTGAGATATTTTGGTTAATGTATTAAATAGTGTAGTGGGTTTAGTGTTGGTTAATTATTAGTGCATTTATGAGAATGTATTTATTTCTTTTTTGTTTTGAGATGAGACTAGGAGAAAGGTAAAGTAGATGTAAAACTTTAAAAGGGTATATTGAAAAATTTATTAATTGTAATAAATTGTAATAGTAATAAATCCCTCATCAGGGGATGGGTGTGCCAGGGATGGGGTGCAGGGGGAATGGGGGGACCTGGAAGAATTAAGGTCCCGGGGGAAAGGGGAATTTCAGGGGATGGAATGAATGGGAGAGGGTTCATTGGGAATGGGGTCGTGGGCCATGGAGATCCTGGGCAATGGCGGCCCTGGGATCGGGGTCCCAGGGAAGGGGAGACAGAAGGAATGGGGGTCCCATGGTCAGCTACCCAGGGGAATGAGTTTGCCAGGGATGGACAGTGATGGGATGTGCATGTGGGTCACAGCTCCTTCCCTGGGTGCCTCAGATTTTGGTGTGACCCAAGGGCTAGCCCTGCCTGCTGGGTTGCCTGTGATTTGGGGGGCAGCAAGAGGGGATTCAGATGTGCTCTGAATCTGTGCCCTCCAACCCCCAGGGGCATTTTCCGTTCTTCATTTCCATTTCCTCCCTTTGATACCTCAAATTCCCAACCTCCCAGTTCATCCCTTGATGATCCTGGAGAGCTCCTGAGCAGGGAACAGCTTGGGGGAAGCCCAGGGTGGGGGAAGCAGGGGTGAGGTGTCTGCAGGGAGGGCTGGGGAGGCTGTGAGGGATGGGGGTGTCTGACAGTGCCCCCCAACACTTTAACTTTCTCTCTCCTGTAGCAGAAGGAAGAGGCCGTTTGTGCTGTGTCACACACGGGGGGCGGGTTCTGTCCTGGGGGGGCACATCCAGGGGGCTTCTGTCCTGGGGGGATCCTGTCCCAGGGAGGACACATACTGGACAAGGGGCTCCTGTCCTGGAGCATGGCAGCTCCTGGAGGGGGTCCAGACTTCTCCATTCTTGCTTGTCCCCTACAGGATCTGAGCCAGCAAGAGCAGCTGGGGAATGGAGCCCCAGGCAGGAAGGAGCTCCCAAACTCCTCCTTGAATCCAGTGGCCATCCAAGGGTGGGGCCCAGCCATGGCCCAGCCCCACTGCACAGGGATGGCCATTGCCCAGCCCTGCTCGGCCCAGCCGCAGGTTGGTCTCCCCTGCCCCCTTGGCTTTGATTCTGGCAGCTTTAGAGCTGCTGCAGAGGTGAGAATTCTGTGCGTGGGAAAAGGCCTGGCTGTGGTTTGCTCAGCCCTGCAAGAAGCACAAAACCCCAAGCAGTGGCTCTGGGAGGGCCTTTGATGGTTTTCAGAGCAGGGCTGGCTGGAAACCGCCCCTGCAGAGGCAGTTGAGATGGAACCAGTCCAGAAATGCAGCAATTGATCACTTTGTCCCTCTCACCACGTGTTATAGATACATATTATATTACTGGATTTTCACATATATTAAAATGGAATTTTTATATGTAATGTTAAAGTAACTTTGTTACAAAGATATAGTTTTTATTTCTGTTGTTAATTAAGCCTCGTGAAATAGCTGATATAAGTATGCTTGTGTTAAAATGCCTGCTTGGATAGGATAACATCTGATAACACAGGACGAGGACACCTGCTACAGATATGCCAACTATCAGCACCCATCCTCTGAAGACAGTGTGGACCAAGGCCCAGAAATGAAGATGATGATAAGAAAGGACTAAAAGCACAACCAAGGAATAATGCTTTAAAAAGGCAGATCTAAGGAGGAGCCATGCTAAACAATTCTTGGAACGCAAATTAGTTTGGGGAAAAAGTTTACTATGCATAAGAGTCTATGAATATGCAACAGGCTGATGTAAGGGAAAAGGTATCTAAGAGGTATCCCCGAAGAGAAGTGTGCTCTTGGCTGAGTGCCAAGATGCTCCCACCCATAACAACCTCTGCTCTATGGTCCTTGTCTCCTATTGTCCTTTATTAAACTTTTAAAATTTTCACAGGAGAGTGAATGTGTTTTTCACATGCTGCAAAGATGAGAATTCTGTAGGGGAAAAAGGCCTGGCTGTGGTTTTCTCAGCCCTGCAAGAAGCACAAAACTGAAAGGGAGCCCAAGTAGTGGCACTGAGAGGGCCTTTGATGGTTTTCACAGCAGGGCTGACTGAAAAACTCCCCCTACAAGGGCAGCTTTGGGAAAACCAGTCCAGAAATGCAGCAATTGAGCATTTTGTCCTTCTAGGCAAGAGACTGGGAGAGACCCAAAAATCCTGCAAAGACAAAAACAATCTGCTCAAAAAATCTGACCAGGACCCTCCTCCGTTTTCCTGTCTCAAACCTGCAGCCATTTAGAACATCCCAGAAAGTATTTTTGGGTTCAGGCTCACTTGTGAGACAAGAGAGAAAAGGATGGAAATATCAAGCAGTGGCTGTGCCCTGCTGCCATGGTGGGGCTGTGGGGAGTGACCCTGTCTGGATTCCAGGTGTTCCCAGAGCTGCTCCATCCCTGCCCTCCTCACCTGCACAGGGCACAGGGAATAGACAGGGCTCTGCCCCGCCCCTGCCCCGCCCCTTCCAGGGTCCCCCTCCACTTCCCGCAGCTGTTGGGGCCTTACCCTGGCAACGCTCGGTCCCGACACATCGCGACAGGACACGCTGCCACAGTCGGTTCGGACACCCCGTGACCGTCCCGGCACTCGCAGCGCGATGGCAGCTGGGCCCCTTCCCGGTGCTCCGGGACCACCATTGCGGTCCCTCCTTTCCGCAGACCCCACTGCAGGGTCTCTGCTCCCCCCTGTCCCAGGGTCTCCCCTCCGCCGTTTCGCTCCCTCCACGCTCGGGGCTCCCCAGGGTGGTCCCGGTCCCTCCATCCCGGCCCCTCCCACCCGCTGCCCCCCGGCCCCTCCGGCCGCGCCCCCCGACAGCCCCGGGGCCGGCACCGGCAGAGGCTGCCGAGCTCCTGCAGGATGAGACGTTCCTGGGGCAGCGCCGGCTGAGCGGGGCCCGGCTCCCTCACGCCGCCCTTGCCTGCAGCACTCGGGCTCCAGCAGCCCCGGGCTGCTCCTTCGGGATGTGCCGACCTCTCCCGGAGTGCTGCCCTTTGTCGGGAATGAGCCCGGGAGCACCCGAATCATCCCTGGGACCTCCTGTGAGGCTGTGCCTGAGGCCTGAGGGGTTTGGGAGCCCGATGGGTGTCACTGCTCTGTCCCAAAATCTGGGGGAAGCAGGAATGGCAGGCAGTGCCCCACCATGGCCCGGCCACAAGGGCCTCACCTGAGAACCCTGTGGAATTCCCAGTGCTCCTGCTCCACCTGCATGGCCAGGTGCTGTTCCCGTGGGCCCCCTGCTCCAGCTGCTCCCACCTCAGCCGCTGCCCCAGCTTGGCCTTCCTGGCTGGTCAGCGGGAAGCAGCAGCCACGAGGCACAGGCACTGAATCATCCCCAGCACCAGCAAAAACCTTCCTCACAGTAAAGAAAGCTCCTTGTGGGCAGAGGTGAGGGCATCTGACCCCCAAGTGGTATCCAATGCTGCCTTGTGTAGCCCAAAATCCCTGGGAGAGGCAGTGGTGTCATGTGTTTGTGCACAGGGATGCTTTAGGAGCACGACTGAACTTGAGGAACCCCAACCCTAAATACAACACCTCCTTAAGTGTCTGCAGCTCCCAGAGCAGAACAGGGGCATTGGCCCAACCAACTCCAGTTTTGGCTTATTTTGCCCTCCCAAGGCACTGCTCCCGGTCCGGGCTGTCCCTGTGCTCCAGCTGCAGCTGCAGAGCCCTCGGAGCTGTGGCTCTGCTCTCCTCCTCCTCCTCCCCCCACTGCGGCTGCTGTGTCAGGACCAGCAGTGGCCCTGGAAGAGCAGGAACTCCAAACATGCTCTGGAGCCCCCTGAGGAGCCCAGGCAGAGTCAGCACCGAGCACCAGCTTTCCTCAAAATCCCAGGGCAATTCAACATTTCCAGAGTGTTGTATTGTACTAAATAGTTTATTTAGTTGTTTTGCACTGGGTGATTGGAAATTTGTACTGAGTATGTTATGTTACGTAGATTGCTATTTCTCTTCTCCCATCATATGGTTTTTCCCTCATGCACCCCTCTGCTATCACCCCTGGTGGTGTGGCCCCTAGTTACCCCTCCCCTCGCCCCTCCTCAATGGTATCCTATTGGCTAATGTTATCTTCCCCCACCCCCATCCCCCTCGGCTATAAAGGTCCCCTGCAAGAATGTCACGTGCTCATTTTCCACCTGGGAGGTCTCCAGAGCCTGAAGTGTCTCTTCCCAAGCCAATAAACAGAACACTCATCCCTGCAGTTTTGCTTCTGTGGCCACTGGAGCTGACAGGCCGGCTAGCTGCTCTCGGAGTGACTGGTGGAGACTACGGGTCCCGCCGCTTCCAGGTTCTCTACGAGAACCCTGAGTAGTGGCTCCATCTGCGGCATGATGACGCAGACGAGAGCAGGACTGCAAAGAACTGAGGTAAAGGAATGAAGGAGTAGACACACGTGTGGATGCCAAGGTGCTTTATTTTACCCAGCCAGGACCAGTGACGGTGTCAGGGAAAAACCGTTAGGGAGCACTTATAAAGGGGAAGGGCGCGACACGAGGAGACACAAGGGACCAATGAACAAAACCCAGGGGAGGAGTAAAGGACACAACTGAACCAATAGGAAGGGCCCAGGGGAGGGAAAAGGCTCAGGGGACAAATCATATGCTAGGTGAGGGATGATTGACATAAAAGAGTCTCGACATGAGAGGGGACGGTTACAATGATTGACAGGTAACAGGTGGGAGGAACAAACCATTAAGAGGGAGAACATGGGGGGAACCGAGGGTCAAACCAAAATTTTAACTTATAAAAAATAACCAACTTTACAACAAAACCCATGTAAAACACACAATGCCACACATCCCCACATGGGGAAGAGCGTTTCTCGTCTTTTGCTTTGTCCATGTAAGTCCGTGTGGGCCAGGGTCCATAGCTAGCTGGAATGGACTCAAACAGCAGCCCGAGACACACAGATTATTACACCACAGCTGATGTGCCGGGGCTGAAAGAAAGAGGAAAAGGGAGTGGAAGCCTGAGGCTTTGCAAGAATTGTGGTGTAAAGCCACCAGAGGTTCTGCTGTGGACCTGAGACCTGCCTGGGGCCAGGCGCTGCCTTCCTTCCATTCGGGATCATGCAAAGCGATTGCAGGTGTTGCGCAGGGCCTGTGCCTGGCCCCGGGACACTGCTACGCTGCCAGTGGGCACTGGGATCCAACCTGCTGCCTTGGCGGCTTCTGTCCGCTGCCGGTGGTGGTGCCGGGACCGATTGGCGGCCGTGAGTTTGCAAAAGGAGCGATTTCCCCTCCTCCCTCCCGCCCGAGGCCGCCATGGCCCCTGAGGGGATGGAGCTGGAGCGGGGCGCCCCCTGCTGGCCGGGAGTGCTCCCTGCAGCGGCCCCTGCTGGCCGCGGTTATAACTGCCACAAAAACCAACAGCGCTGAGCGGGAGGGAAAGTTCTGGGTTTGTGTTGTTTCTTCTGTTCTGCTTTATAAATTTCCCAGTAAAGAGCTATTACTCCTGTTCATCAATTTGGCCTGGAAGCCCCATAATTTTTGAAATTAAAAAACGTTTTAGACATGTGTCTTCTTTCTATTCCAGGAACGTTCCACTTCGTAGATATTTCTCATTTAAATGAGTGTCCCAATCCTGGGTTCCAGTGTGGATTGGACATACATGCCAAGAGGAGACACAGTCAGGGACTTGGTGACCGCATGCCCTGCCTTCGAAGCTGGATGAGCCACCAAGGGCCCTCTCCCCAGGTGGCACTTCTGGTCAACCGGCCACTCAGGAACTGGCTTTGGCAGAGCATCACATTGCCCCAGTGTGCCATGGCTGACAGACTGTCTTACCAAAAGCATGGCCTGACCCACCCCTACCACACACAGCTGTTCCAAAATGTCTTCAGACATCAAACTTTTCCTGTCTCTGACACCCTGCCCTGTGCCATGGCATGATCCCAAATGCCCTGGAAGAGGAGGAGGCTCCCACAGGGCCTTTGTGATATCCTTGTGTGGGGAATATGGCAGAGGATGGGTGTAGGACAAGGGACAAGAGAATCCACAGCCTCCTAAAGGCCGCTTTGGCCATCAGAGCAAGGAAGCTCCAGGGCCCTGCCAAATTCCTCTGGTGGAAGAAATGTTCTGGGGACAGTGTCTGGTGTTTGTTCCTTTTCGGTGGTTTTCCCTTGAAATCATTCCTTTTGTGGCAATTTGGACTCTGAACCTTGTTGCTGTTGCTCTTGGTTTTTATTCTCTCTCATTGCTGTTTCAGGAAATTGTTCTTCTCTCAGCCCTTTGGGATCTTTGTGCCCCCACAGGGAGGGATTGGGGCAGTTTTTAGTGGCAGCACAGACACGAGTGGGTGCCCATGGGTGGGGACCCCCAGTGCCCCCAGTTCCCCCCAGTGTCACAGCACATTCCCGTAGATGTCACCGGGTTCCCGCGGTCACCCCTGGGGTCCCCGCAGCTCCGCGTAGGTCACCTGGGGATCCTGGAGGGTGGTGGCACGGGGGGACGCTGCGAGAGACACGGGCTGTGGGATCTGGGTGGGGTGACACTGGTGGGTGACGTGTCCCTCTGCGTGTGTCCCCCCCGTACTCACCCCCTGCCCTCTTGGTGACCACGACGTGGGTGTACAGCACCTCCCCCTCCTCTGGGGGGGCCGGGGGATCCGGGGGGGGCCTGAGGGAATAAAGGGGATGTGGGGGAGGGAATGGGAGGTCTTGGGGGTTGGGGTAAAATGGGAGAGTGTGGTTTGAGCCTCCCACTCACCTTTCCTGGTTCTTCCCAGCAGCTGCAAAGGAAAGATGGGAGGGATGACTGTGGGGTCCCAGGGCGCTGAACCCTCTCAGGATTCCTGAACCTACTCAGGACCTCCAAGTATCCCTGATGCCCCCCAGAATCAATGAACCTCTCCAGTGGCCCCAACCAACTCACCCTCAAGAACCCAAAGCCCAGCAGGGACAGAGATCCCCCAAACACCCCAAGGGCCCCATAAAGAACTCCCAACATCCCTGCAGGACCCTCCAGCAACTACCCAAACCCTACAGGACCCCCAGCCAAAGTCACAATTGTGGGGCTGTGGGTTGTTCCCTATGGTTTCTCCAATTCTGGGCGCCTCTAGAGTTCCCTGGGACTACCCATGCCCCCACTATCACCCACACACACGGTGCCACCAGTGCCAGGTCACAATGACAGCCATGAGGAGGACCAGGAAGGAAAGGGCCCCACCAACCCCTGCGGCCACTGCAAAAAAGAGAGGGGGACACATCAGGGTCACCCATCACCCCAGGGGTCCTGCACTCCCTGGTGACCCCACCTGTGTGACCCCACCTGTGACCCAGGGTGAGCCAGGTGTCACCTCAAGTGCCAGCTCTGGGCTGGGTGCCCGGAACATGCGGTGCCTATCAAGATGGTTGGTGGCCACACACTTGTATGTTCCCAAATGTTCCACTTCAACATCCCCAAGGTCCAGGAGGGGACCCTGACCCACTTCCTGCCTATTGTGCAGCCAGGTGAAGGTGACAGGGGCTGAGCCCACCTGCACTGAGCAGCGCAAGTTCACGTTGTAACCTGGGTGCACCTGGTGTGACAGGGAACCGGGGGTGGTGGTGGCATTGGCAACGGGCACTGCGGAGACAGAGATGGGGCTGGCACTGGGCGAGGTGGGATGGGGGTGCTGCGGTTGGGGTCACCCCCAGCCT